CGAGCAAACCTAGTTAAAACCAAAGAAGGAAAGAGAGAAATGAAGGGGGATGTTACCATAGGAAGACATCCCAAACCAGCTGTGGAACCCCTGTCCATAACTCTTGACTTGCTTGCTCAAAGCTCACAAAGGATGGATAGTTCCTGCTACAGACTGACATAGGATGCACCACCACCCCCCGTACAATGAGTTTTCTTCTAGATCTACTCCAGGGCCACTGTTGAGGATCCCATTCTCCTGAGTGGTCCTGGTTACTCTTGGTTGGGATGTTGATGGTCCTCAGCCCAAATGTTGATGGTCTTCAATCCCAGCCTCCATGAGTCTTCTAGACTTCCAGAAGTGTTTTCTCCTCTACTGTCCCCTGAACTCTGCCCATTTTTTTCCAAAGCTTTATTTCCTAAAAGGCCTCGCTAAGCATTAGGTTTGCCTTGCTTCTCTGACACCAAGACAAGTCATCCCCCCCACCATCATGAACACATCCCCTTCGCTGCCTCTTATTGACACTTCTCGTCTGCCTTCACCGTTCCTCTCCCCACTCCTCCCATCACCCCCACAAATGGAGAAGGCTACAAATTCCCCCTTCTTGCTGAGGCCAGCCGTTTTTCCATCCCAGTGCTTATCTCGACTACTCCATTATTTTCTCTTAATTTCCAGAATGTAGCTTTGATAACAGTTTTCACAACCAAGTTAATGAAACATGCTTAGCATTCAAGGATCACCATTTCCAGGCTGCCCTCCCCCCCTTTCCCTTCCTTTCCCATCCACCAGTCACTGGAGCTTGTAACCCACTTTTTCATCCATTTAAATTAATTAATGTTCTGAATAAAACAAGACTATCTAAGGGTGGCCCATCCATCATAACAAAATGAAGGGAAACTAAGCTTCGGGAAAAAAAAATTTCCCCTCCTATAGAAGCATTTCGCTCTTCTCCCGGTCCGATTCATTTCAGCAAAACTTGTCCAGGAAAACGTCTCAAGACAGACATTAATTAGAAAATTTAGAAACTTACATTGTGAGATCCTTCTGCATTTTCTCCCTGGGAACCAAGGAACAGAAATTTTGGGCTCAATTGGGGTCATACGTTGAGGACTACCTGTATATATGAAGGAAGCACCTTCAGATTCTGGTTCCAGGTAGAAAAGAGATAACTTTCCTACCTTTGGTAAAGAGTTATATTATCAAGACAGAATTTTCTATCTCTGTTGTTCCAGTACTGGGTCTGTTATCCATCCTTTAATCGTCTTTAGCATCTTAGCTATACCAGAACAGAATTTATTGTGTTACTGAGAAAAAGTTGAGAAGATCGCTCCAAAGATGCTTTTAACTACATTAATGCAACTTTGGACCACTCCATTGAATCTGTAAATAGAGGAGAAGGGTCTTAAGTATTGTGTTGTTCAGTTTCTCCGAGATTATTTAAATCCTATTCGTTTATTTGCAAGAAATGGACAGGACAGTTGTGCACCAAGACCCCTATTCTTTATTGTTGGAATACAGTGTTCATGTATTTTGTACAACAACTACATCCAACCAGTAGATGGCAGTGTTTATACGTTTGTAGTTGCATCTATGGTATACTCTATGTCTTTTCTCTGAATAAAGTTTCCTGCTTCCTTGTCGCAGTTAAGCAGAAAAGCACATGTGGATTGTGCACTGTCTGTTCTGTAGGGCTATATACAGAATTTCTAACATTTCTATGGGCCCAGTCATAGCCAGCTACAGCAAATAAGTGCAAGATACAGCAACAGCAGGAAAACTGCAACAGAATAATTTTTAAAAATGCCAGCAACATAGCTGCAACAAAGCTTTCATTTGCAAATCTAACATTTATATGGGTGGAATCTGCACAGAACATGAAATTCGATCCAGAGAAAATCAAAGTTACTAATCCAACTGCTTCAGCTTCACTTAAAACCTTCCAAATCTTTCTGAGTTGAACCTCCTTGTGCTTTGGGTGCTTCTCTGTCTGGTTACAAAGCTCAGCAGAAGAGGAGGTTGAGTGAGTCATTATTTTTACCCAAGGTTGGCCAAGAGACACTGCATCTCATCCTTGGCAGGGACGTGCAGCTGGGCAATTGACCCCGAGCCGCTGACTTCACTTACCAAGCTACAAAAAAGACGGGGGAATTTCAGTGTTCTCGGTTGTCCCAATCTCGACATCTTAACTGGCAGATGAAAAATGCTGGTACTTTATCAATATTTAAACATCTTGCAGTGACTTTAAGGCAGTGTTTCTCAAACTTGCCAGCTTTAGATGTGGACTTCAACTCCCAGAATTCCCCAGCCAGCATTCTCAGTTGCCATCTATCATAGCTCTAAACTTTTAATGCAGCAGCTTCTCTCTTTCTTTTCCTCCTTTTCTTTATTTATCACTAGGATTGTCGTTCTCAGCTAGGAAACTCCAAAGCACGCTTCTCCACTCCCCTCTCCCAATAATCTCTGCATTTCTCAGTTTCAAAGGAATCTCTTTTTAATACCCTCAAGGTATAATTATTTGATTTTTTTTTCTTCTAAGAGTATTAGAGCCACACTTCCTGGGGAGCGATAGATCTTAAAAGGCATGAAATATCCAGATCTGTAGATTTTTTAAAAACCAAACTTAAACCTCCAGAGTCTATCGACAATTGTCAGAAATTTGCATGAGCAACCGGAACTGGCAACTGAGGGACCTCAGGCCAAATTCAGTTTCTTGAGGAACAAGTGTCTCCACCCAGGATGTTAAATTTGTTCATGCAAACAGGACACCCTGTTTATCACAAATTTCCAATTGTTCCGTTGCCAAATTAGAGCTAAGTAGAATTTATCTAGAGTCTGCCGCTTGGATAGCAGGCTTGGTAGATGACCATCCACTTGGGACTTTCCATTCTGCCTTCAGTGATGGGTGGAAGCTTGTCAGAGGGACAGCCAACCTGGAAATAAGAAAGAATTCCCTGATGGTGAGAACAATTAATCAATGGGACCGCTTGTCTCCCATAGTTGTGGGTGCTCCATCCATCAATGGAGGTTTTCAAGAAAAGATTGGGCAGCCATTTGCCTGGGATGGAATAAGGACTCCTGCCTTGGGCAGGAGACTGGAGTAAAAGACCTTCAAGATCAAGATCCCTTCCAGCCCTATGATTCTGTGATTCTCAGACAACCTTCAGAAGGTTTTAAAGATTTCCTTAGGGTTGGTGATTCTTCAGGGCCCTATCGAAGGAGACTTTTTCTCACCCTGCCCAAGACAACAGATCCATATGGATTCAGATAGAGGAGGTAACATATGTCCCTGTTTCCCACCTCTCCATCCCCACCTAGCAGGAAGAATCTAGATTTCTTCACTAATGCTGAGTTTGTGGTACGGGTTCCTCTCCTCATATTCATTCTTCATTTAGAGCTCAACTTGGCTTCTCAGCCCTCAAAGAAAAGATCTTCTGCGCTTTTCCATAGCATTTTTATCACTTCCACTTATTCCATTTCAAACGTGTGCCTAAACCAGCACAAGCCGGTCAGTTCAAAGCAAGGTCTTCCGTTGCCCGGCCTGTCTCTCCCAGTGGGCCATTTTTCCTTCGTCTCTTCCCCTGAATGACAGACAGGTGTCACGTCAACAGCTTGTCAGCCTTCATTTGGCGTCTTTGCCCTCCCGATGGTCAAGGCTGTGGTTTCACCTCTTCCTCCTTGAAAATAAATTCACGTTTTCATGTGGTTCTCCTGGGCTCGTTTCGGGAGGCGCTTCTGGGAAGGCCCAGCTGCCGGCGTTCTCTGGCATGGGATGAAGGCCCCATTTTGCCAGTGGTGGCAAGGCAGATATAAAAGTGGCAGGTTTCCATCAGCCCTACGTCTAATGTGGAAGGAATTAATCAGTGACATCTACCCTGTCAGGTTCTGAAGCTGCAGTGGCTTGACTGACAGTGTGATTCAGCCCACGGCAGTGGTTAATTGTCCGTGAAATCGCATTCTTGCGTTGGTGCAGCGTCTGTTCTAACACCTGCGGCTCACAGAACCACTGATCACACACACACACTCCCCTGGAAGGATAAAACTTGAAGGTACAGGAGGCCTTGCAAGCTGTAAGAGAAAATATAGATGGTCCCCTAGGTCTTCTTCAGAATCCAGTGGTAACCATATAACAGAATAACAGAGTTGGAAGGGACCTTGGAGGTCATCTAGTCCAACCCCCTGCTCAGGCAGGAAACCCTATACCATTTTGGACAAATGGCTGTCCAGTCTCTTCTTTAAAACTTCCAGTGTTGGAGCATTCACAACTTCTGGAGGCAGGTTGTTCCACTGATTAATTGTTCTGTCAGGAAGTTTCTCCTTAGTTCCAGGTTGCTTCTCTCCTTGATGAGTTTCCATCCATTGTTCTTGTCTTGCATTTGTGGTGCTTTGGAGAACAGCTTGACTCCTTCTTCTTTGTGGCAACCTCTGAGATAATGGAAGACTCTATCATGTCATCCCTAGTCCTTCTTTTCATTAAATTAGACATACCCAATTCCAGCAACCGTTCTTTATATGTATAAAGAAGCAATGCATCCTTTCCTACTTCTACCGTGAGAGTCAGAGCAATAAGCTAAAACGCAACCCAACCTGTGTAATGATAGCATTTTTTTTTTAAAAAAGTAGTTATTCCCTTTAATCTCCTCTTTCCAAATAAATGTGGCCAATCCAAGCCTATAGGAAAAGCAGACAAGGGGACAGATGTTTCTAAACAGAAAAGCAATTGAGAGCAATTCTCTTGCAACCCCATAACCAGCTGTGCTGCATCTCACAGTACATTAAGCAAGAATTGATGGGGAGTAACTGCACCTATTTGGGGTGGGGGTGTATGATTTACCAGGACAAGCTTTCTTTTCTCTCAGGTTTTTTAAAAAAAACCACATTCCTTCAGTTACTAGTGTTCCGCATTGCAAGCCTCCCGGTCAGGATACAGGAAATGGCCAACCAACCTGGAGAATGCAGAATAGACTTCCTTCATGCTCCTTGGGGTAGATCTAGAAAAGCAAAGTCTCCTTTTCCAGAATCGTCTTCCAACATTTTGGGATGAATGGCTTGGAGGCGGAAAACGCATTGCGACAGCTTGCCTTGATGGAAAGCTGCAGCAAGTTACAAAAAGAATTGTAATGCGGAATTGAGAATTCAACCCTTTGATGGGAAAATGGATGTTGGATGGAAGAGGAAGGAAAGAAGGAAGGAAGGAAGGAAGGAAGGAAGGAAGGAAGGAAGGAAGGAAGGAAGGAAGGAAGGAACTGATCCATGGCTGCATGTGTGCTTCATGTGAGGTCTGGGACCAGATTCTGGGATGAGACCACTTTGTAGGATGGACCTAAAGTAACAGGATGTTTTTGCTCCATGGGTGGTCAGTAGAAAGATAAGATGGACCCTGCCTGAATCTCATTTGGAAAACTCAGGATGGGCCTCTTACCTAGGAAGATAGGACTTGTATGACAAAAGGGGATGCCTTCGCGAGAAAGCAAGACAGACCCAAAGGTGCTTTTTCCTTGAAGACATTTGGCTTCTCCTCCTTCAGTTCTTCAGCTTCTTGGATGAGAAGCAAAACATTTTCGAGAAAAAAAAACAAAAGAAAGTCCAGTTGCCTTGTGGAAAAAGCATCTGTGGGATAACCATGAACCTTGGATGATTGCGAATCTCCATATCCAAACCAAGAGGGTGTCTCTCAACCTTGGCAACTTTAAGATGTGTGGCCTTCAACTCTTACAATTCTCCAGCCAACTCCAAGAGTTCCTGTTAAATAGCAGTATCAAATTGCCTTGAAAGAAATCTGAAGAGAAGAAGAACTTCAGGTCAAAAGGCAGACCTGCTGCTAGCAGAACTGATAGATTTTCCCCAGACAATTGAAATTCTCTTCCCCCCCCCCCCAACACCTCCGACAAGTGGTTAAACCATGGATTTAACCACAGCAATGATTTCTGGAGCCTTTTCTAATGGTTTCCACGGAACATTATCTTTATCAAGATTTAGAAAGATGCCACCCACCCCTCCACCCCTAATTTGGAATTCTTCTCCATATTTCCTCCGACAGCCTTATCTATTAGCAGGATCTTATGCCGAATAAAACAAGCAATCCTTTTGTTTCTTTGCAAGTGCTCTGAACTATCGGCTCTGTCGCTACCTCTCTGTCCTCTGCCTCTCGAAGTAAATAAAACTCTCAGCTCCCTTTATTACCTTGTAAAATTATGTATTAAAAGCTCCATCTTTTATTTGATCCTCTGCATTCCGCACGGAGATCTATCCCAACGTGAAGGGGTGGCATTTGGCTGAATTTATGATCCGTGCCAGCAAATGATTCTCCACGGTGGATTTTTAGAGGAGAAATTACCTGCTCCCTCACCATGTTGCCCTGCTAAAATGTGGCTGGGTTTTCAGTCCCAGCCCACCGCCTCATCACTGGGGGCTTGCCAAATACCATCATCAAACAATGGGCAATGGAGAAAGTATTAATCACTGTCACCGGTGCTCAGAATCTAATACCTTTTTGGGCTGAAATTTATGGGCAGCCAAGTTTAGAGACACGCAAATCAGAGGAATGGGTTTTTCTGCTGCTGGAAGCTCTCTGCACCAAGAACATGTGAAAGACTATGAGAGAAAAGGGTTCCAGATGATTTGTTTCAAGTCAAATGAAAGGTTATTTCAGGGATTTTAAAAAACACTTCATGGACCTGAAGTCTCTTGAGTATAAGTATTTGTAGGGTCCCTATTACTCTCCGAGCTTGGTGGTTTGCTTGCAGGCCTTTCGTTACCTGACTAGGTAACATCATCAAGGAAGTAGGGTTTGCTTTTATTTTTACATACTAAGAGCTTGCCCTGTCAGCGTTGGTGTAAGTATTCTTGGTAGTTTCTTGATTAGGCTGTGGTTTACTGTTAGCTTGTTTGTCTGCATTGGTGGTTCCTTAACTGGGCTATTGTTTACTTCTTGGCTATTGGTCTAGTGCAGGAGTCTCCAGACTTGACAACTTTAAGCCTTGTGGACTTTGATTCCCACAGTTCCTCAGCCAGCTGTAGGAGTTGAAGTCCATAAGTCTTAAAATTGCCAAGTCTGGCCTAGTGTTAAGTTTGATGTCAATCTCTGCTCATAATGAGGTTGGGGTAAGCCCTGTGAAACGATCAGCAGTGACCACCAGACCTCCTCATTCTTTACTGCTTCTGCAGATGAAGGTGTGTGGGACCTGTTTGTGAAGAACATTCCGCGGAGTGCCACGTCCTACACGGTCAGCTTGGACCAGCTGAAAGAAGGAGTAAGCTATCAGTTCCGGGTGGTGGCGGTGAACGAGTTTGGATACGGAGAACCCAGTGCAGCTTCTGTAGCCATCTCAGGTTGGTAAACTCGGTTTAGCGTTCCCTGGGGAATGTGGAGAAGTCTTTATTGGTGCAAGATTGACATTGGGATACTTGAGCAAGACTGACATTGGGACGCTCCACTTGCCTCCAGAGGTTGTGGATGCTCCAACACTGGAGGTTTCTAAGAAGAGATTGGACAACCCTTTGTCTGGAATGGTCTGAGCAGGGGGGTGGACTAGAAGACCTCCAAGGTCCTTTCCAACTTTGTATTCTCTTATTCTGAGTAGAAGAGCAGACAGGTCACAGGGGACTTTCTAAGAGGTCCTCCCGTGCTTGACCTTCAAAATAAATCCATGTTCTCAAAGGAAAGAAAGAGATGCCTAAAAGAGGAAAGTTGGGGTAAACATAACTGTTCCAGAGCTGATCCCTCAACTGGTTGATCCTTCTTCCTTCCAGCTCACACAGGATCTCCTTTCTACGAAGAATGGTGGTTCTTGCTTGTGGTGGCCCTCTGCAGCCTCATTCTCATCCTGATGGTCGTCTTTGCGTTGATCTTGCACAACCAGACTAAGAAATATCGAGACAACAGCGCAGGTGGGCTATCTTCTCCATTCCCCATGCCTTGGACCCTCAGCCTGTGATAAAGTAGAAAATAATATTTCCTAATTAAATCCTCAGGCCTCCTGGGCTTGTCCCACGGCTGATCCCTGCCTCCCACCTTACACAATACACTTTTGTCGTGCGTTTTATCAGATGAAATTCCACAGCATTCAAATAGCCTCCTCGCCTTACGTGCCTGATCTCAAGTGACTTGAGTTATCGTCACTTGAAGGCTGAAGTGCCTGTTGAAAATTTGGATTCCCTGGGTGGCGTTCTTCGTTCCTGGGTGCCCTTAATAATACCTCCAGGTCTTTGTTTCCACCTGTCAGCCAACCCAGACTCCTGGTCTCTTTCAGAGGGAGCTTAAATATTTATAGCTCAGCCCCCGAACTCTGTTTTCAGAGCTTTGCAAATCAATGTTGTGCCCTTTCCGCCTCAGACACAAAGTCCTTTCAAAAGCTGCCAATAGCACATGCCACTCCAGCTGCCTGGGTGTCTCTGTCCGACAGGCACGTTAACTCTTTGAGACTGGAAAACGGGGTTCGCCCACACACCCCGGACCCTTTAGAACAAGCAAGCAGCAAGCAAAATGGTGCCGTTGACCACGGTGATGTTTGGCACACAGGCAGTAGGAGATTTTGTCCCCGGAGTTTGTATATGCAAAGTGATAAAAAAATAAATAAATAAATAAATAAACCACACGGGTAAACGTACGTCAGAACTCCACAATTTGCCCAATTTATATTCTCTCATTCCCTTCCTTGCCAAACCGCTTCCCCCAGGAATAAATTCACTTCTTACAAGTGTTAGTAAATCAGGTTTTATTCCTCTGGGATTTGAAACGTTTGAATGGCATGGCACCTTATCGAGCTAAATGCTATTTTAAATTCCTATGCACCATGCACAGGGAGCTCTCTCTCTCTCTGGATGACAAACGCGAAAGGGCAGTTCTGACCTTCACCTTTTACAGAAGTTGTGCAGGAACAACTTTCCTGAAGCAGGGGAAATTGATGGCAGACCAAGGACGAGAGTGCTCCTTAACAATATCGAAGCTTAGATCCAACCAGGCCTTTTGGGTTTATATTCCAGAACAGAGACCAGGTCTTATAAGTTCCAGAGCACCTGTACAGGATCCTGAAAGCCATTGTGGCATGGAGATCCCTTTGGGAAAACCCAGTTTTTTGTGGAGACGTTGTGATGAGGAGGCTATCTAGAATGCTTACGGTCCCACCAGGTGGTCTTCCAAGTTTCTCATTTTCACCCGAATAGGAAAATGGGTCATACCACCCCACAAAGATGGGGTGACTTTTCAAACAATTTTCTCCATTACAAATCAAAAACTTCCCTGCAAGTTAAGAGGGACGTTCGGGAGAAACGTCTACTCTAGTTTTCAATTTACAGAACGGTACTTTAAAAAAAACAAAAAACAACAGCAACGAAAGAATGTTCCAAAATATAATTGTGCTCATCCACTCTGAAAGGAGGTCGTGACTTGTTTTATCATCTCTAAATGTTGTCCTACGACATTCTCGCTCCTCTTTGCTTCATCTTCACCATATTGGATTCCCAATGAATTCGGCGGAAGTAATTCTTTCAGCGAACAGGAGCAGATTCGGGCTGCAAAGCCGTAATCCTAAAGTTACTTCCTTGGGAACAAATCTCCCTGAAATCGATGTAGCTTTTCTTTTAAGCTACCTTGAATGGGGCCATCTATGATTTGCCAATATATTGTCTGTTCTCAGGACAGCCAAAATGAAAGGACCTGCTAAGTCTGAAAACATCAGTGCTTTCATCTTTGTTTTGGATTCATTGATTAGATGAAGGAAATCAATATGTTCATTGGAAAGGGCTAGCTTCTCTCTCCCACCCCTCCACAAAGGCCCAAACAAATGAAAAACACACGCTACATAAAAGAGCAAAAAACATAAAGTTCCCTCAATAAAAGTTAAAACTTGCCTATCCTTTGTAAACATGCACGCAATAGTCCAATAAGCACAGTATACCAGATTTGCAGGATGAGTGATCCTACCATCTTTTACTGCTTTTTTTTTTTTAAAAAAATGGCTATTGTAGGAGAAGAGCAGGTAGAGCTGGGGGTGGAGTTAAACAGGTCATCATCTTAGCATCCTTATGTTGCCACAAAGGCTCCATGTCTAGCCCCTCCTGGATTCCGTGGACCCTTATCTCACGCCAATTTCGCACTGACCTTTAGGTGACTAGATTCTTGCGTAGAGGCATGAACTAAACTGGAATGAAACGTGTGGTCCTGATCCTTTGTGCCTGACAGTTACCTCAAAAATGGTGGATTGTTTTTTTTTCTTCTTCTTCTCTGTTTTCGCCCAGAGCCAGAGAAAGGTCTACGCCTTCGCTCATTCTGTCGCCATTTGTCTCCAGGAAAAAATGCGGCCGGCGTGGAAGAAAGTGTCACTCTGGATAACGGGGGGTTTACATCTCTGGAACTCAACAGCCGGCATCTCAGTGTTAAAAATGCTTTCTTGAAGAAGAACGGGACCAGGTGAGGTGGCACCAGAGCACCTAGAATTCAGGCAGACATCCAGTAGGATAGGCTTATGTAGGCATATTCTCTTGGAAGGGCGGGAATAGTGGTGGGATTCCGCCGGTTTGCACCACTTCGGCAGAACCGGTAGCTAATTTTTTGTTGCCCAGGCCCGGAATGGACTTCCGGAAGCTGCATCCACCACAGAGAACCGGTTGTTCGCCTATTTGATAGACAGAACACATTTGCCAACCTCTATCTCTCAACTGGTTACAATAAAAGCCGTGAGGCAGAATTGTTTTCTTTCTGGAAAATAAGGTACTTGATGATATATATGTACCCATAAAGGAGAATATTTGTAGCTGAGGGTTGAACTGCGGGGTCTTTGGTGTTCTCTGAGCTTGGTTGTTTACTTGCAGATGTTTCATGACCCAACTAAGTAACATCATCAGTGCTAGAAGGGAGTGTGGTTTGCAGGGAGGAGGAGGAGGAGGAGGAGGAGGAGGAGGAGGAGGAGGAGGAGGAGGAGGAGGACTGTGTGGTCCTTGGTGGTCTTTGAGCTTGGGTTTTTTTTGCAGATGTTTCATGACCCAACTAGGTTACATCATCAGTAATGCTGCAAGTAAACAACCAAGCTCAGAGAACACCGAGGACCCCACAGTTCAACCCTCAGTTACAAATATTCTCCTTTATGGGTATTTTCCAGAAAGAAAATAATTCTGCCTCATAGCTTTTATTGTAAACAGTTGAGAGACAGAGGTTGGCAAATGTGTTCTGTCTATCAGACAGAATCAAAAGCCAGCCCAGACTTAATTTTATTTCCTTTCCTGGTTCCAGATCGCCACCTCGCCCAAGCCCTGGAGGCCTTCATTATTCGGACGAGGACATCTGCAATAAGTACAACGGAGCCGTGCTGGCAGAAAGCATTGCCCTCACCGAGAAACCCTTGGATGCTTCAGAGTCGGAAGTGAGTTGATTGTCCCAAAGATGCTTTTTCACGAGGCAACTGGATGTCCTTTTTTTTTCTCTCTCTTTGAAGACATTTCGATTCTCCTCCAAGAAGCTTCTTCAGCTCAGAGCTCAGAGCTGAAGAAGCTTCTTGGATGAGAAGCGAAACGACTTCAAAGAGGAAAAAAAGGAAGTCCAGTGGCCTCGTGAAAAAGCACCTTTGGGACAACCTTGACCTGGAGGACTGAGAACCTCCGTAGACATTTAAAGTGAGTTGATTGTTCAACGGTCGTTGGAGGAACCCTATTAAGATGGGACAGCAAAGGTTTGCTTGGGATTATTGCTAAAGTAGGCAAGTTGCATCAGGAAATGGAGAAGTAGGGTGAAGAGAAAGGGGAAATCTATCTCCAGCCTGGTAGAGATAGAAGTTTAGGACCAAATGTCCCACCAGTTTTTATGGTCTCTTGAGAAGGAAAGGAACCCACACTAAGAACCCCAAAAATCAAAGATCAAGTAAGTAAGTAAGACTTACGAGAGCATCATCAACAGAAAGATGGGCCATGGCTTTGTATCTAACAAAACATGGTTTCAGGGGATCCCGTAAGTCTGGAAATTTTTCACCCTTTATTCTTTTAGTGCCCTCTAGCTCAGACTAAGCCTTGGTGGGTCAACCAACTCTCCATAATGTTTCTGACAACAGATGATTTCCTTGGCTTGAAAGGGGCTAGTGAGTCAAAATCAGAGACATTCCACAGCAAATGCAGGACTTTAGAACTAGCAAGCATCCAGGGAAACGTGATGCAAATGCACGTATCCTGGTAAAAACAGACCTCTGGTGAACACCTTGCACTGAATCTGCCTGGAAGCTGAAGACCATCAGAGGCCACCAAACAGTCATTTTTTATATATACAGGGCTGCCAGATCTGGGCTGCAAAACAAGGACCAGAGTTAAGTTTCTTGTCGCCCAAATTTTCTTGTAGCCTGATGTTTCTGGGGAACCTCTGCCAAGAACCTGAACAGTTCACACCTGGTGGTAGCCATCACTTCCCTCCAAGCAAGCAGGGGTCATTCCTTTCCATTTCCACCTGATGGAGCCAAGGGGAATCTTTTGGTTGTTAAGTTTGGAAGCTTCGCGGCTGTCTCCTTTCGACTCCCATTTTTAATCCATTTTTCCATGTAACACAATATTATCTTGAAAGCCTCAAGTTGACAAGGCAGGGTGAAGACCCCCTCCCCTTCTCAACACAATGCCTGCATTTCTATCTCCGGATCTGAAATACCAGATTGTGGAAGGGAAATGCAATCAATCAAGGTGAATGCCAGAGGCATGTTGATAAGGGACCCCCTGCTTGCTGCTGTTGCAGAGAAGATCCTCCTGGGCTGAAGCTCTTGGAGAGAAAGGCCCTGACAGGTTAGGACGTCATGAGGCCCTCTGCACTCCCTCCTCCCTGGTAAGGCTTTGAATGGAAAGCCCTTTCTGTCAAGGAAGGGGGGAAGGAAGGGAGGGAGGAAGGAGAAATACAAGGAGAGGGAGGGAGGGAGAAAGGGAAGGAGGAAGGAAGGAGATGAGAGGAAGGGAGGGAGGGAGGAGGAGAAGGGAGGGAGGAGGAAGGAGGCAGGGAGGGAGAGGAAAAGGAAGGGAGGGAGGGAGGGAGGAGAAATACAAGGAGAGGGAGGGAGGGAGAAAGGGAAGGAGGAAGGAAGGAGATGAGAGGAAGGGAGGGAGGGAGGAGGAGGAGGGAGGGAGGAGGAAGGAGGCAGGGAGGGAGAGGAAAAAGAAAGGGAGGGAGGGAGGGAGGGAAGAGGAGAAATACAAGGAGAGGGCNAGGGCGGGAGGGAGAGAGGGAAGGAGGAAGGAAGGAGATGAAATGAGAGGAAGGGAGGGAGGAGGAGGGAGGGAGGAGGAAGGAGGCAGGCAGGGAGAGGAAAAGGAAGGGAGGGAAGGAAGGAAAGGGAGGGAGGAAGGAGGAGAAATACAAGGAGAGGGCGGGAGGGAGAGAGGGAAGGAGGAAGGAAGGAGATGAAATGAGAGGAAGGAAGGGACGGAGGAGGAGGGAGGGAGGAGGAAGGAGGCAGAGAGGGAGAGGGAGAGGAAAAGGGAGGGAGGGAGGGAGGGAGGGAAGGAAGGCTGATTTCTCTGATGGAAACGCAATTATAGATCCTATTCGTGAGGAAGGCAAACAGAAAACTCACACTTTCTGAGCCTCTGTACTCCTACAACTGAGTGTGAGACATAGTAGTATTGACATTTATGATAGATCAAAGCAAGGAGGCTGTATTTTAAAGACATTTTTTAAAAGGTCCATAAAAGGTTGGGGCCAATGTTAATGCAAGCTCTGAAAAGCTCTGAGAATTGTTTTTTTTTTTTTGTTTTTTTTTACCACCAACCATCTTGTGTTTAGATGAGCTTTTCTGTCAACTTCACTCCTTCCCATCTTCCTTTCCAGATGTTTCCTAACATCTGATCAAACGTTATCCACAAGGGAAGGGAAAGAGAAGGAACGGGAGAAGAGTAACCTTCTCAGCCCCCTACCAGCACTTTGTGGCTTTCCCTGAAACTCAACGCAGCATTTGTCTTTCTTTCTTTTTTTTCCCTTCCTCAAACTTTTCCTCCTGATCTTTGCAATCAGGACAAAGCCGTCGCCCCAGGGCCAGATCTCGGCAGGGCTGGTGTCCACCAGGAAAAAGGTCTTCCATGAACTCCATCACCCCTGTTGATTGAGAACCTGTTAAGCTCTAACGCAACTGAGAGATCAGAGAAAGCAGCCAGAGCAGCAAAAATATTACCACCAGCTTAGCTCTTTGGCAAGGAGAATCTAGGAAGAACCAGGATCGGCCATGGGGGCCCCCAAGAGAGAGAAGATTAATTGTCTTCTGGGCTGTGTTTCTGCTGAGGCTTCCTCCTGGTCACCTGCGTTTCACCTCTTGTTAATTATCTTTGGCAGCCTGCTGCTTTCGGCTGCCCTCTGACCGAGCCGCTGGGGAGTGACAACATTATCTTGCGATTACACACTCACAGTGGCTCTGTTCTTCTCTGTGTGACATCCTGGAATTAAAATCTGCCATTAGACGGTGCAGAATGTGGCTGGGTCACTTTTGATATTCATGTCAGGAGTTCCACACGCCGCCGGAGAGAGCGTTACGACCCATCTCCTGGCCAAGACACCAAGAGAGGAACAGGTCACCCAACCGTGTCCGTCCTCTCATTAAACCCTTTCCTTGTCCACGATGTCAAGGAGGCCATAACTCCTAACCTAACCCTGCGAGGAATTTTGGCACGAACACAAATCCTGGTTTTGTGACGTCCCTCCCCATTATCATGCCTGTCCCCTTTAGACTTCCGATGCTGGCTGGTTTCCCGTGACTCAAACTTGGAGGACCTAGAACTTGTTTTGGTTCACTCTGGAGAGAAAGCCAACTCAACCTTCCTTTTTTAAAAAAATATATATTGGATCTTTTCAACTTGTTTTGGGGAGGATGTGAATTGTCTTCTTGGGTATCTGGAGGGGAAACTAACTTTTGCTTGTCTGAGTATTCCAATCTTTTCATTTTTACGAGGGAAGAAGAAGCCGTGAACTCAGATTTCTGCAGAACTTGGCAGAAGCCAAACCTATCTCAGCTTGTCAGAGAGTGGTTTTTCTTTGATGGACTTTCAGGGTAGAAGCTGGGACAGAGCTCCAGAATATCCAAGGCCAAAGTCTTCTTAATCTGCTTTTCTTTCAGATTTTAATCCTTTTAAAAAAGAAAGAAAGAAAGAACTCTCTGTACCAGATAGATACTTCTCTACATATCCCTGACATGCTGACCCTGGCTCCAAAATGTTGAAAAAAGCAATAAGACTCCAGAAACTGTCTGGAGCTATGATGCACGTAGACATATATAAATATCTTGGTGGAGACTCAGAGCTTTTGAGAGCGGTTGTTTAAGCAGAATGCGGATTTGTCTAACTTTTGCTTAGTTGGGGGCAGGCAGGTGGGCGTGACCTCCTTGCAAGGTGGGGACAATATTTGCTCTAGGAAAATGCAAACCAAAATGTCCCTAATCAGATTTCTCCATCCTTGCTTGGAAACTGAAATGGGTCCAGTTTGAAGAGAAATACTCAGAGGGAGCATTGCGCAAGAGAACCCCTAACAGCACTGACGCTGGACAGCAGTTCCCCTGCCTGCTTCTTTGCTCCTTTGAGGTCCCACCTGCCCCCCCCACCACCCCTCAGAATAATTCTGCTGAACCCAGGTGTGTGCAAGGGATGGGTGTCTACCTCTGCCCCCCCTGCGTGGGTCCCTTGCACGTTGCCTTCCTGTCAAAGTTGGTGGTGACAGTGGGGCAAATATTTTGGATCCCCTGCAAGCCGAATTTTAACGAGGCCAAGGTAATCACATCAATAACGCTTGTTTCTGTCAAGCAGAGAGAGTACAAATGGGGAGAGAGAGAGAGAGGGAGGGAGAGAGAGAGAAATCTCATTAATATTATTATTGAAGATCAGACGTGTCTGGCCTCAGACTGCATATTATTAAGCCTCTTCCGCTCCAGACCGCCTGAGAGCAGGGACCCCAAAGCAAAAGCATTGGGGGCTTGATTAAGGAACCCAAGGCCTTTGGTTCTTCATGCCAGTGTGGCAAAGCTACCAGAATCTTGCATTTTGATGAAGGCGGGAGCCTTGGAATTGCAGAATTTATCAGTCCTAGAAAAAGCAAAGGCTGAAGAGAGGGGATAGAAACCAACCGGAGTAATGTATATATATATATATATATATATATTTCTTCTGATGCCTTTTGAAAAGGATTCAAATACACCCAGCCATTTGCCTCTGGCGCGATCAGAAACAAAGGTAACGGATTCTTTCTCTCAGCCTGTTGCCGACCAAAATTTGACAGCTGCCAGGCTTTTGAAATTCCTTATAATGCCGGCCTTAAGCGAGACCAGCCCGGGGTGCTGCCATTTGTCCGCCCGCAGCCTTTGTTTCTTCTGCCTGACCAATACAAATACTTGAAATGGTGGGGCATTTTCTCTGTTGTGTGGCTGCCCAGGCATCCGTGCACCTTGGCTGGTCAATTTCCAATCACACCTGAGCGCCCAATCAAATTCCAGGCTGATGCTGTTGCCCTGGCAACCGTCGGGAGGATGCAGCAATGGGGCCTTGCTGCACCCGCCGAGACCAAACGGCCCTGCTGCATCGCCACTTCGTCAATAGTTTGAAGTCATTTTGAGCCGTAAGCCGGGATGGAGGCCGTTCGGGTAATAATGGGGGAGGGCTGCAGGAGAGTGGGAGTGGGAAAAAATTTGGAGAGGCTCAGGGTCCCCACACAGGAATCTGAGTATGCCTAATGCTTGGAGCTACCCTTGAGAAATGGTCAAGTCCACGGAAGTGTCTTGAGGACAGAAGCTTTTACAAGCCAAGGATGTCCCTTCTGGATTCAAACAGAGACCAGCAGCCCTTTGGGCATCATCATATGGGGTTTCCTTCCTAGTGGAAGATGGAAAAACCCAAATGGCTGAAGACGTGGCAGGTAAGAATTGCACCTGGCTTGGGGACATCCAGATGGGTGGCAATGGGCCCTGTAGCCATCCAGCTTGGGGTTGATGGTCTATCCCAGGGGTGTCCAACCTTGGCAACTTTAAGACCTGAGGACCTCTGGGATGCTGGATGGGGAATTCTGGGAGTTGAAGTCCACAAGTCTTAAAGTTGCCAAGGTTGGACATCCCTGCGGTAGACCATCAACCCCAAGCTGGATGGCTACAGGGCCAGTTCCTACCCATCTGGATGTCCTCAAGCCAGGTGTAATTCTTACCTGCCACATCCTCAGCCATTGGGACAACCAGCCAGTCCTGGTTGTCCCAAAGCTGCTTTTTCAAAAGGCAAAAGGGACTTCGTTTCTCCTTGAAGATGTTTCGCTTCTCATCCAAGAAGCTTCTTCAGTTCTGACTTGTAAACACGGGCTTGTAAGTCGATGCCGCTCCGCCTTTCAGTCAAAGCTTCGGCCGTGTATTTCTTATTAATAATAGCGCAGAGACATCCTGAGAAAGAACGAGGAGTAAAGTGGCTAGATTTAGCCTTTTTTTGGGTGGCTGGCTCTCTCTTGGAATAGCGATGCGTACCAAAATAGAAATTCCTAATCAGGCTGGGATTCATTATTCCTGTCATTTCCCTTCTGTCATTTCCCTGCTGGGCATGTAAAGAGTCAGACAAGGCTTTAACATCCTCTGGCTTTGGAGAAACAGCTGAACAGGCTTATTTTGCCACAAGGAGGGGACACACACACACACACACACACACACACACACACAAGATTCCCTGCAGCTCTTTTCAAGTAGCTATAATTCCTAATTTGCTTGCCAGTTTCCTGTCTACCCCTCCCCTCCCCTTCCCTTCAGTTTGCCTCCTTTTTCTTATCTGGTGGACCCTCACTCACTGCTGAAAGCACCAGGTAGGATTCTCATTATACCGGCGGCTGCATCGCGAAAATTGATTTTATGCGTTTCAAACTGTATCGTTCAGATTTAGAGTCCTCAAATGTGTTTTTAACAACAGATAAAACAGAGAACGTCACACTTAAAAGATAATAAATTAAGCCCCCTCCCACCCTGCCCCAGACTGTCCAAATGCCACTCTGGGGGGAAAGCCGAAATGCCCCCCCCCCGGGTTGGATTCGAACGCAGAGCAGAGAAACCATTCTAAGATCTAACCATTGAACTCAAACTCCTGGGGGCATCGTATAAAAAGAAAAGTGATCCGTTTGACAGAAGACCTTTTAAAAGATAAATGAGAGCTCGAGGTGGACGTTCATACAGGTTCCTCCTGAAAGAGCCAAGACGGGAAGCAGGATCCAGAGAAGATTCCCTGGTCAGTCCAGTTGGAGGGATCAACTCAAGGAAAGGCTATGGTTCGTCTTAGGATGTAGATAAGTTTGTTGAGATCCACATCTCGAAAACACACATGAGATTCAGCTCAGTAGGGTAAACATCCTGATCCACATCTGGGAGAGGTTTGAAAAGGACCAAGACAAGGTGGAAGAGATAAAGCTCTTTCTTTCCTGCCACCCTGAAGGTAAGGCTGGGCACCTCTCGGTTTCACGTGGCACCCGAGTCCTGCACCGTGCTCTCTTTCACCCTGCACCTTGGTGTTTTGGGGAATTCAGTCTTTCACCTTCTTCTCTGTAACCTGAAGTAGAGCTGTCTCTTGGTCCTCCAACCTATATGGGATGCAATGGAGTGGAATGGAATGGAATAGAATAGAATAGAATAGAATAGAATAGAATATGGAATAGAATAGAATAGAATAGAATAGAATAGAATAGAATAGAATAGAATAGAATAGAATAGAATAGAATAGAATAGAACAGAACAGAACAGAACAGAACAGAGTAGAGTAGAGTAGAGTAGAGTAGAGTAGAGTAGAGTAGAGTAGAGTAGAGTAGAGTAGAGTAGAGTAGAGTAGAGTAGAGTAGAGTAGAGTAGAGTAGAGTAGAGTAGAAAAGAATAGAATAGAATAGAATAGAATAGAATAGAATAGAATAGAATAGAATAGAATAGAATAGAGCTGGAAGGAACCTTGGAGGTCTTCTAGTCCAGCCCCCTGTTCAAGCAGGAGACCTTATACCATTTCAGATAAATGACTATCCTTAAAAACTTAAAAGCCTCCAGTGATGGAGTACCCACGATTTATGGAGGCAAGCTGTTCCACTGGTTAATTGCCCTCACTGTTAGGAAGTTTCTCCTTAATTCCAGGTTGCTTCTCTCTTTGATCAGTTTACAAAGATTCACAATTAAAAAAACACTGACCACATTGTCACCTAGACATTAACAAATCCTTTTCTCTCTCTCTCTCCAATCCCAGGGGACGGATTCAGACTACGAAGATGAGCTGCCCAAGCATTCTTTTGTCAACCACTACATGAGCGACCCAAGTTACTACAATTCCTGGAAACGCCAGCAAAAGGGCACAAAGCATTCGACGCCTTACAGGTATGAGGAGCGAGTTGCCAGCGAGGCTGAACCTTACTTCCAGACTGTTATCACAACACAGAGTTCAGGAGGGGTCTACACCCCAACAGGACAGCCCGCTCCGGGCTCAAGGACTCCAGTGACAGGTTTCTCTTCATTCGTCTAAGACCCAAGCAAAGCGCGCCGACCTCAATTCAGTGGCCTGCCCAGGTTTGGGCCAACACCAGCCCATCCCGACGTGACTCCGGGCGGCACCGATGCAGTGGACTGGGGGTATATTTCTCTTTATCAGGGTAGAATGGATGTACATGTGAATGTCTTTTGTTTTTTGGTTTTTTTTTTCAAGACAATCAACACTTTAAGACATGGAGCTGATGCGTTTGCTTTGATTTTTTTTCCCCCTTTGAAAAATCCCATAAATGATCAAAACCTCACCATTTTAACCACTTTGGAGTATGATTTAAAAGAATTTTTTAAAAATAAAAATATGCTTTTTTAATGTTGTCTGGGTTTTCTTTCTCTTGGCCTCTTTCTTTCTTTCTTCTTCTCTCTCTCTCTCTCTCTTTCTTTTTCTTTCTTTCTTTCTTTCTCTTTTCTTTCTTTTTTCTTTCTCTTCTTTCTTTCTCTTTTCTTTCTTTCTTAATTTCTCCTTTCTTTCTTTTTTTCTTTCTTTCTCTTTTCTTTCTTTTTCTTTCTCTTCTTTCTCTTTTCTTTCCTCTTTCATTCTCTTCTTTCTCTTTTCTTTCTTCTTTCTTTCTCTTCTTTCTTTCCTTCTTTCATCCAAGAAGTCAATTCCATAGGTAATGTAAATTAAGGTGACTCCAGGTTGCCTTCCAAAGACTCTCCCCACCTCTGATCAAGTGGAAAAATGCATCACCCCAAAGTGATGAAAAGACTATTTTTACGGACGGTTCCCTCCTTTTGCTGCTCGCTTTGCTGAAGCATCATCTCAAGGACTTGATTTTCAGTTCTGCGTCTCTCCTGTTGCTTCCAAAGATCATCCTCACCTTCACGTGACTTTCCTCAGAGGTCACCTTTGTCTTTTATCTCGATTCTTCTCCGTCAGGGCTTGCTGCCTTCCTAAACCCATTATCCCCACTCCTGGCTGTTGGCAAGACAGGTTAGTGCAAAAGCACCATGGATAATGTTCGGCGAAAGCTGTTGAAGAAAGACCCTTTTGAAGTGGGTCCATTTTACTCTCACTTCTGGTCCTGCCAGACTGCAGCTGCGAATGCCCATTATAAGTTGAAGAAGGGGATAAAGAGCAGTCCTTTTAACAAAGGTGGCATTTATGAGTGAGATTTCCAAGGTTTTCCCCCCAAAAAAGGATTTTATATTTAGAATGAACCTAATCTCTCACTTCAGCTTTGTCATGCTTAGAATATTTTGTCGTGCCATTCTTTAAAAATAAGGAAGGAGAGGCTCCATATATATATAGAATAGAGCTGGAAGGGATCTTGGAGGTCTTCTAGTCCAGCCCCCTGCTTAAACAGGAGGATCTATACCATCTCAGACAAGTGACTGTCTAGCCTCTTCTTAAAAATCTCCAGTGATGGAGCACCCATGATTTCTGGAGGCAAGCTGTTCCACTGGTTAATTGTCCTCACTGTCAGGAAGTTTCTCCTTAATTCTAGGTTGCTTCTCTCTTTGATCAGTTTCCATCCGTTGTTTCTCATCATTTCCTTTGGTGCTCTGGTGAATAATGTGACCCCCCTCAAATTTTGGAATACTGCTATCATGTCTCCCCTATTTCTTCTTTTCTTTAGACTAGCCAGACCCAAGTCCTGCAGCCATTCTTCGTATGTTTTAGCCTCCAGGCCTTGGATCATCTTAGTTGCTCTTCTCTGAATTTTCTCCAAACTCTCAACATCTTTTTTGTGATATGGTGACCAAAAGTGGCTGCAGTATTCCAGGTGTGGCCTCACTAGGGTTTTATAAAGCGGTACTAATACTTCGCGTGATCTTGATTCTATGCCTGTTTATACAACCCAGGATTCTATTAGCTTTTTTGGCTGCTGCTGCTGCACACTGCTGGCTCATAGTCAAGTGATCGTCCACTAGGACTCCAAGGTCCCTCTCACAGTTACTGTTTTTAAGCCAGGTCTTGCCCAGTCTGTACGTGTGTGTGTATATGTGTGTGTGTGTGTGTGTGGATAGATAGATAGATAGATGGATGGATGGATGGATAGATAGATAGATAGATAGATAGATAGATAGATAGATAGATAGATAGATAGATAGATAGACAGATGATATACACAGATGATATACACAGATGATAGAGATAGAGATAGAGAGATACCATATGTGTTTCATATTTTTTTTTTAAAAAGTGCTTATTTTTAAAACAGAGGGAGGTCCTATCTTGCTGCATTATCTGTCTTAGAAAAAGTGGGTGTCAGATGGATGTCTTTGTGCAAGTCTGTTCAGCTGCATCCTCGAACTCGACGAGAGTCAAATGGCTTTGGAAACCCAGGGATTACAAATGATCACCTGACAGACGGTCTCTCTCAATACTGTTGGTTGTGCTCCTTTCCACTGTCCACTGGTGATTGGCCCCAAGTCACCCAGCCGGCCTTCACGGCTAAGACCTCCCATCCCATGATAGCTATAGTTCAGAATTTCAAGGGTGGCATTTTGGGTCACAAATGTAAAGAGTTAGACCAGGGAGATCAACCAGTCAAGCACAAACTCATTTTCTCGTGATTAAATAAAGGCTGAGCCAAAGGGATGTAAGAAATAAGGATGACCCTGGACAGAAAAAAAAGCCATTTCTCTTATAGCTCTTCAGCCTTAGCTCTCCAGGCCTTAGAGATGTGGGCTTAATGATCCTTTTCTGATAATTGTGTGTGGTTGGATCTACTTGATAGGTCTTAATTAAGTTGTTGTGTATTTTTAGAAGAAATTACAGCGTTTCATCGCCAAATTCGGCTGGTGTTCAGAGCTGAGCAGGTAAGTGTAATTATTTCATTATATTGATTGGTTGAACAAGACCTACTGAAGCAAAACACAAAGGATGGAGAATGAGAAGGAAAGGGGCTTTTTTTTATTCTCCCAAAAGACTTCTGAACCCAGGTTGGACCAAGAGTTTTTGGCAGTTCTACAACTAAGCCCAGAATCCTTTCACATATAATTTCACTCCTGTTCCTTTTTTTTTTTTCCTAACCAGCCTTAGTTAAAAAGGGGAAAGAAAAATGTGCTGCCACTATCATTAAATAACTGGGAAGGGAAGAAGATCCTCTTTACTCTGATCACAATCTTCCTTCTGCAGGCTCTATATTACTCTCCGAAAAATATCTGGGAAGATTGAAGAGGTTTACTGCTCTGCAAATATTGTAGGTCACTGTGTCCTAACTTTGCTCCCTTCTACTAAAATGGAAACATGGGAGAAGTTTTCTGCAAAAGAAAAAAAAACATAGGAATTATTCAGGATCTACCTCACCTACTACTCTGCCTCTTTACAAGATGAAACCTCTCAAGATGAACGAAAGCTCTCTGCGTTCTTTCATCTGATCTTAGTTTCGGAATGTAAAGATAAACAGCTGAATATGGAAAACAGAATTACGGAGTTGGAAGGGACCTTGGAGGTCTTCTAATCCAACTCCCAGCTCAAGCAGGAGACCTTGTACCATTTCAGACCAATGGTTGTCCATTATTTTTCTTAAAAACCTCCATTGATGGAGCACCCACAACTTCTGGAGGACAAGGTGTTCCACTGATTAATTGTTCTCACTGTCAGGAAATTTCTCCTTAGTTCTAGGTTGCTTCTCTCCTTGATTAGTTTCCATCCATTACGTTAATATGCTGGTCCACCTAAAAAAGGCTTTGGATATTTAACAGACATATATAAACATGCAAAACAATCAGCACCATTCAGACATTAATGTCTGTAAGCCCAACGGAGGAGCCCTTGATGGTTCTGGTGATCTCTGGGCTTGCTTGTTTTCTTGCAGACGTTTCATGATCCAAACTAGGTAACATCATCAGTGCTAGAAGGGAATGGGGTTTGCAAAGAGGAGGAGGAAGAGAAGGAGGAGGAGATGAAGAAGATGACAAAGAAGAACAAGAAAAAGAAGAAGAAGAGGAGGAGGAGGAGGAGGAGGAGGAGGACTGAGGGGTCCTTGAGCTCTCTGAGCTTGCTTGTTTTCTTGCAGACGTTTCATGATCCAAACTAGGTAACATCATCAGTGCTAGAAGCGAGTGAGGTTTCATCATCATAATACTGTTGATGTTACTTAGTTGGGTCATGAAACGTCTGCAAGAAAACCACCAAGTTCAGAGAGTATCAAACCCCACAGTCTTCCTCCTCCTCCTCCTCCTCCTCCTCCTCCTCCTCCTCCTCTTCTTCTTCCTCATGTTATCAGTTACATCATTCAGCATGCAGAACCAGGCAGATGCATAGAAAACTATGCACAATGAGGTGTGGGTAATACTTGGTTAGCATCTGCCAAGGAATTCCAGGGCTGTCAGCTAGATTGGGAGGTTGGGGAAAAAAAATATCTCAGAAGAAGACAATTCCAACCGATTCTTTTTTGCAGCCGAGAAAGCTATCTGGATATTTCGCCAGAAGCGGAGTCCTTCCCATCAACTTGAATTAAGGGCCCAGCCATGCAGTTCTACAAGCTAGTGCAGCTCTCACTTTCCTTTAAGCAAATAGTTTGGAAAGAATGGCGTGCAAAAAAAACAAACAAAAACCTGAAATAAAAAAAAAAGGAACGAACTTTTAACTGCCACCATTTCCCCAAAGAGAGAATTGATAATGGAAAGAAGTGATGGCTGCTTTTGAGAGTGTTTTTTCCAAAATAAGAGGCATTGCTTTAGAAACCCTTCCCTTCTCCTGTTTGCCTTTCAAATGGAAGATATCAAAGGTGATTCTTTTAAAGCTCGTCGACAGTAACAAAGTAATTTCTGCTCTTCCATTCCACATCCATCTCGGTAATTCTGTTTTTATTGGCTGTGCTTATTCGGTTACAACCGAACTGGAAGAGGGAGGCCGATTGAAAGGCTGCAGAATTGGATATCCTTAAGACACCCAAATTGAATTTTATTCCTTTGCTCTCATCGCCATGCATTAGAGACTTGACATGACCAGGTCTTGGTATGCAACAGCCCTAACCACAGAATTAATCACAAAGGTCATTTTTATTATTTACCCTGGACGTAGTTTCAGTTGCTCATGTGGACGAGAAAGGTCTTTTTTGGGGTTAACAACTTTGACAATCATGCCATGTTGGTTAAACTCTTGTTCGCCAGAAATATTGGACGATCTAGAACTGTCCACTCAGAAAGCAATTACAAGTAGTGCTCAACTTACAACAGTTTATTTAGTGACCTCCCCCACCCCCCAGGATAAAGCTTCAGCTACAATCCTGCCTTGAAGAAATATTAGCAGTTCTTCCTCTGCTATTGCAAGTGAAAATGCTGCCTTCCCAAGACTTGTTTTCGCCCAGCTTCCCAAGGCCAC